GAGAGAGAATGACATCTGTGGTCCCTGTCCTCATGGAGTTTACAATAGTTAGGCTATTTGTGGTTCATGGAAAATTTGTTGGTGTATTTGGAGTAGGTACGCAAAACTAAAAAACTCACTGCCGTCGAGTTGGACCCGACTCATAACGACTGCTCTTTGGGATTCCAAGGTGATAACACTATAGAAGTAGATTGCCCAACCTTCTTTCCAAGGAGTGGCTGGTGGGTTTGAACCACGAACCTTCTGGTTAGCAGTCAAATGTCTTAGGCACTACACCACCAGGGCAAGTAAAAGGAAAAATTTTTTCTAAGAAGAGTATGTGGTAAAGATTATAAGGGCAATTAAAAATTTTTGTTTAATTGTCATATTTTAACTGAGACATATGTTGTAATGAGACTTTATTTTTAAATGAGTACTGTGTTGTTGTTGTTGTTAGGTGCTGTCAAGTCATTTCTGACTCATAGCATCCCCACGCACAGCAGAACGAAATCCCGTGCCAGCTCCACGATCCTTGCTATACTTGAGCCCATTGTCACAGCCACCCTGTCAATCCATCTCGTCGAAGGTCTTCCCCTCCTTCGTCGACCCTCCACCATACCAAGCATGATATCCTTCTCCAGGGAATGGTCCCCTCTGACAACATGACCAAAGTAGGTGAGATGAAGTCTGGCCATCCTCACTTCCAAGGAGCATCTCGGCTGCACTTCCTCCAGGACAGATCTGTTAGTTCTTTTGGCAGTCCGTGGTACCTTCAGCATTCTTCGCCAGCACCACAACTCAAAAGCATCAACTCTTCTTTGGTCTTCCTTATTCATTGTCCAGCTCTCACATGCATAGGAAGCGATTGGAAATATCATAGCTTGTGTCAGGAGCACCTTAGTCCTCAAGGAGACATCCTTGCTCCTCAGCATTTGAAACAGTTCCTTCACAGCTGACCTGCCGAGTGCTACACATCATCTAATATCCTGACTGATGCTTCCGTTGGCCTCGATTGTAGAACCAAGCCACATGAATTCTTTGACAACCTCAATCTTTTCTCCATTTATCATGGCTGCTTATTGATCCAGTTGTGAGGATTTTTGTCTTCTTTATATTGAGATGTAATCCATACTGCAGACTGCATTCCTCAATCTTCATCAGTATGTGCCTCAAGTCATCCTCACTTTCAGCAAGCAAAGTTGTGTCATCAGTGTATATCAGGTGTTAATGATTCTTCCTCCAATCCTAATGCCACATTTTTCTTCGTATAGTCCAGCTTCTGAGATTATTTGCTCAGCATATAGATTGAATAACTATGGGGAAAGGATGCAACCCTGATGCACTCTTCTTGATTTTAAACCATGCAGTGTTCCCTTGTTCCATTCGAATGACAGCCTCCTGGTCAAGGTACAGGTTCCTCACGAGTATAATCAAGTGTTCAGGAATTCCCATTCTTCTCAATGTTATCCATAATTTGTCATTATCCACACAATCAAATGCCTTTGCATAGTCAATAAAGCATAAGTAAACATCTTTCTGGTATTCTTTGCCTTGAGCCAAGATCCATCTGACAGCAGCTATGATATCCCTTGTTCCCTGTCCTCTTCTGAATCCAGCTT